GTGTTAGTTGGAAATCACAACTTCAACATGTTGCATTATCCACTACTGAATTAGAATACATTGCTGCTACTGAAGCCTTTAAAAAATCTTTGTGGTTTAAAGGTGTATTAAATGAACATGGTGTTTTTAAGGACAATGTGACAATATATTCTGATAGTCAATCTGCTATTCACCTATGTAAAAATACTGTCTTTCATGAACGTACTAAACATATAGATGTTAGATTGCATTTCATTAGAGATATAGTTTCTCAAGAATTGGTAAAACTTGAAAAAGTCCTTTCAAAATATAATCCTACAGATATTGGAACTAAGGTACTCCCATTGGTAAAGTTTAGAAGCTGCCTTGATCTTGTAAACATCGGTACAAACTTATAAGTTTCTTTCCTGAAACTATTTGTTATCTTATCTGACTTGCAAGATGATTTGGCATCAAGGTAGAAGTTGTTGGGCATATTTGGTAAGTGATGCCCAAATCCCCTAGGCGATGATAAAAAATCGAGGCCGTTTTAACTTCATACGCTATAAGTCCAGGATTGAAGAATTAAATTCACACCACAATTGAAGTAACCCAATTATGTTGGATATTTAGAGGTAATTAATCTATTGGACTAGATGCTCAATACCCAACTTGGAGGTAATTTGAAAATCATAAGAAAAGATAGATAAATAAATCGATATCTTTCTTCAACTTCCTTATCTCGTCTTGGATGAGCTCTATCTTTTGGATTAACATAATCTTGCAAATTTTCTATCCTAATCTTGCAAGACTCCTGGGAAATCCATTCTCCCCACTGAGCCTATAAATTGGAGCATTCACCCTTCATTTTATACACACCAAAAACAATAGATACTCTCCACCTACTTAGTGCAAAATAAATCCTCCTTTGCCTTCTTTGTGAAATTGTCTTTGTGATTGAAAATGGCCTTCAAATTGGAGATACCTTTGTGGTGTGGATCGAGTTTCTGCGCCGAATCAAAAAGGGGAAAACCGTTCTTCATTTTTTCAGTTTTTGGTTTTAATTTTCTTGAAGTTAATCTTTGCAAAACGTACATTAATTGGTTCTTTTTTCTATTTATAGGTGGGTTAGCTTCACAGACAGGTTGCTCAGTAGAAAGCTTCTTTTCAGCCGAGGTCAATTTGTTAGTAGAACCAAACATTTCCTGTGGTAGAGTTTGCTTCTTTTCGTTTATAATTTTGTTCCTTTGTGTTTGTACCTTCAAACTTTTACTTTTACCGCATCTGTTATGACTATTCGACTATGGCTAGGACCCTTGTGCTAATCATTACTTTCATCTGGAAGAAAACTCAATCGTTATGGATATCGCTGTCATTCCTCCAATCCTCGGCTGCATAAGGACTTCAAACTCACTGCCACGGCATGGGCTCTTACGTAGACCCCATACACTGAACTGTAGCGTGTCACAATTTTTGTTACATCACGGTTCTGATATTTAGCATATTTACTATTGTCCTGCATATGGTCCAAACAAGAACATTAACACATTTGATTATAAAAAATTTTCTTAGTAAGAAAAAGATTAATATGTTATTCATAAAATGTTATCATTATTTTGTCCATTAAGGCGTACCACCAAGCATTTCCCTCTTAACATCGCATAGTTCTCCTAACTTGATATTTCACTAATCATATTCTTAGCCACTATTTGAGTCCCATTTTTAGGCCAAAATGTATTTTTTGAAATAGCATTTTGTTGGAAAATGTGTGATTAAAAAATAAGCAAAAATTTTAGGTTGCATGTAAAATTATTTTACGGGAGAATGTGTGGTTAAAAATGTATTTTGAAAAAAATGAGTTTTTTATAAAAATGGGGGGCCAAACATAGGCTTTAATAACCATTGTAACATTGTTCGTGTTTTCTCGTTCAGCTACTTACCCAAGGAGACGAGGAATCTTGCTACCTTTAAATGTGAGTTTGTTTTTCTATTACCCACCCATTTTAGGTATGCTAAAACTTGTGCGGTTTTTCCGAGATTTAATGAATTTGTTAAAACACGACCATCCATAAGTTTCCTGGTGAAACTTTTACTTGCGAAGGCTTACATGCATAGTCGATTCAAATTAATTAAAGTTTTAATTTTATACTTTATAAATTTATTTTTGTACTTCTAAATATAAAACACGACATGTCATGTCGAACACTTGCTTGAAAATGCCCCTAAAGTATCCATCAAGCATTAGAAATTCATAAAATATATTTAAAAAATAAGGCATGGCATGGGGCTTGCCGGAGCATTGTCATGAAGTGTTCGAGGAGTGCCAGTATTCGACAGAAAAGGTGTTGGACGTGGACACACGGTCCTAGTTGGAGTCACGGAGTGTTTGTTTATCATAAATAATGGCTATTCCCCGCTTTTAAAATTTGAATTATGACCTTATAATCACAAAGCTTTGCCCTTCTAAATTTTGTTAAAACTTTTCTTTATTGTCCATATTCCTGTTTCTTAGTATATTTTGAATCCTAACTGCTTTTATGTTCGCCACATTAGATCATACTGGACTCAAACAAACATGCATTGAGAATCTTGTGTCAGCTACTTTAAATTTACATATTGTAATCCGCTTAACTAAAATGCAATAACGTAAAATCTCGTAAGTCAATACTAAATGACTATTGGATATAGCCCAGAATGGGATAACCGCATGATGGACTCCTCGAAAAATTTTGATCTTAGCAGTCCCGAGATTAAGCAACAGTTTGGTGAGTTCTATACACTGGTTATTATTTTGCTGCATATGCCTGTTGGTACGTAGTATTTGACAAGATTGAATGGAATTAAATATTTATAAAATAAAATAAAAAGAATGTCAAAATCTCGTCTGTTCAGTTCCCACTCGTTATCAGCAGCAAACATGAAACATGCAGCACTTATTGTTTCTCACCTGATATATCTTGCAGATCAAATAGGGCTTACGCCTGAGGAAGTCATTTCTAAAATCATGCCAAATCCCGATGTTGCTATCAATGCTATGGCATTCCAAAATCCTCGAGTTCAAGCAGCTATCAAGGATGTAAGTAGCTTCTTGTACTTGTCCTCCGTTAAAAATTTTCATTTTCTTCTGGGGCTTCCCTGCAAGGTAATGGACCTACTCACTTTCCAATTCCTTCAAGATTTTACTATAATATCAAAGGAAAAATCCTGTTTTGTACTACTTATCTTAAATGAACTTCATCGGGACGATTGTATCTTTTTGCAGTGCTCTCAGAAATTTATTCAGATTTGAGGTTCATCTTAATAAAGTCAACATTGTTAAAAGGAATAGCTCAAAATCTTTTTAAATTGGTCAAATTTCGATATTTAACCGATGTGGGATCCCTTAACAAAGTATGAATCTTTGAATAATTCAAGCCAATCGAACATGATCATCTCTTTTGTTTCACTTCGCATCAAGGCTTTTGCTGTTTCTGCCTTGCTGCACTTAATTTTTCACGCTTGCACTAAGGCAAAGGTTACTTGATGCTCGTCTCAGGTTTTTGACGTTTTGAATAAAATATCAGAACTTTTCCCTTGGCCAACAGGTTCTTAATGCGACTGGTCCTACCATGGAATCAAGTTAAAGGGAGTGTACGTGCTCCTTTTTTGGCCTGCACAGATGAGATATCAAAAGTTTAGAGCACCTGTAAGCATGTATCTGCTTTTTACGTCCTCACATATCAAGATCCGTTGGCATCAGTTTCCTTTCTACTCTTTATAAATTTAACGTTAAACTCAACTTAATATTGTGGTTATGTTTGAAGTACATTCTCGTCAAGCTATAGATCTTCCGAGCTGTTGTAAAATTTGTTGATTCCTGTTAGCTAACGGTAGAGATTATAGACACCTCTCTAATCATCTCATCTTTCTCTTTGCTTTTCTCTCGCCTTTGAATGTATTCCTATTTGCATTTTTTATCTTTAGTAGCACACTAAATACCAGACGAGCCTGAAGAATGGTGAAATTCGAACTGCATCCTGTTTGGCATGCTAAACTAAATAGGACTCATTATGAATCATAATGAGCAAAATTTGTATGTGATCACATCCAAATTTCAGTGCGCCAAACTCTCCTCTGGAGATGGCTAGATACCAATATTACGCATGCTTTAATGCAGAAACGAATGAATAAATATAATATCATAGGAATTCAAAGCCTTTAGACCAATTCCTTTGAAAAGAAGCTACACATGAACTGATTTTGTATTGCCAAGTGAATTTAAATTCATGTCCAAAATCTATACAAGAACAATACACAGGCAAGTGAACTAGGCAGAAACCTCCTTCGAGCCAATGACACTTGATTGCTCCTCAAAATTTGTTACAACAATGGAGATACTTATTAAACTAATCGCTACCACTAAATTGATGCTAACAAAACCTTATCCTAACACAAGAAATTAACTTCGGCGAGTGGGGAATTCTACTTGGTTGAATGAAACATCTCTGGCATCTCTCAAAATATAAATATCAAAACTGGAAAATGCAAAAGAAACATAAGCACAACATTCAGATTGTGATATTAAATTCTACTTGGTTGAATGAAACATCTCTGGCATCTCTCAAAATATAAATATCAAAACTGGAAAATGCAAAAGAAACATAAGCACAACATTCAGATTGTGATATTAAATTCTACTTGGTTGAATGAAACATCTCGGGCATATCCTAAAATTCAAATATCAATACTGAAAAATGCAAAAGAAACATGAGCACAACATTCAGATTGTGATATTGAATTCTACTTGGTTGAATGAAACATCTCGGGCATATCCTAAAATATAAATATCAAAACTGAAAAATGCAAAAGAAACATGAGCATAACATTCAGATTGTGATATTGAATTCTACTTGGTTGAATGAAACATCTCGGGCATATCCTAAAATTCAAATATCAAAACTGAAAAATGCGAAAGAAAAATGAGCACAACATTCAGATTGTGATATTGTTTGGCCAAAATTTCAGCATCATTTTGCTTTTATCTTCTTCACATTCATTTTTTCGTATATCAACTCTTATCTTTACCATTGCTTGGTTTTTGTCCCTTGCGCTTACGGTTTTCCACTTTTTCATGGGGATTAACATCCTGAAATTGGATAGGTTTGATGCTCACACCAGCTCTCTTTACCACCTGTCCATAAGTAGCCAAAACATGAGCTACACGTGCTAAAATGAAACATAGAGCATGCCAGGTTACAGCTTGAAAAGTAAGAAAATTTTGTCAACAAACATATACTTTGATTAACTTAATTTTAAGTAAAAAGAGTTATTTCCAACTTTGACCAATGATAAGTATTTAATTTTCAACTTCATTTCAATTAAAAACCACTCATGGTGGCATATTTTATTTAGAACAATTAAGTAAAAGTGCAAACTTATAAGTGAACATTTTAAGCTTAGCCAACGTGCTCTTAATTTTCTCAATAGCTCCATTTTGTGAATGGAAAGCTCTTTTTATATTCAACACTGATAGATGCAAGTGACCATAGGAGAATGAAGGCAATAAAATTTTGAGAAGAAAACTTAGAAAAGAAAAGAAGACAAATGTTCTAAAAGTGAACCTCAGGATGATTAAGAGCTCCAACTGCTGTCACAGGATTAAATTCAGGTCCAATTGGCATCCGAATACTCTGTTCAAAAACTTCCTTTGATGCGCAGGGATAAGGCAAAGTCTTTGTATAAAGTTTTTCACCCTAAAAGAACAAAATAAATCAGTCTAAAGCTAAACATAAACTATGATACATATGAAAAGTGTACAAATGCACGAATTCCTTGAATAAACAGTGGAACATGTATAATAAGTGTGACTCGAGAATGCAAGCCCTCATACCATTCTCATGAAGAAGCCACTAAAGCCTACTCATCTACTTGGGTAAGAGCACTGACCAAGAAGGATAATCCTATCAATTACAATGAGGTATCTAGTGACAAAGAAAGTGAATATAAAAAATCAAACTTGGGAGGAAAAGTGTTGCACCTCATTTTCCATTCTTCAGAGAAGAAAACCTATTTCTTTCCTTGTGTTTGATAGCTTGAATGGATAATATATAACAATTTTTCAGGCTTCCTCAAGTAGATATATTTTTTCCAGAATAATATAGTTTTTTTTTTTTGTTAGATATTTAATCTCATGTAAATATGTACTTTGGAAATATGCCGCGTGTCATTTGGAAAAAAGTGAAATTGACTTCCCACCTTATTCTTCTCCATGTCCTATTTCCCAACAAAAAACATTGGAAATCAAATTTCCTCACATCTATATCTTCTGTCTTACTTTTCCAACGAGTTGTCTCTCTGACCAATCACATCTTTAGCTAGATATGAGTAGAACATGAATTCTATTTTAAAATTTCTAAAAGTGAAAAAAATAAGTGTCATGCCATCTGAAAGCGGCGTCCACCTGGGTTTCCACCATATGGTCATTTGATTATCAGTCATTGCTGAACTAACAAAGCATGTATTCTTTCAGAAATAAAGAAAAAACTAGAGACCGATAGTAACATTTTTATCCAACATCTCAGAGATGATAACATTATTAAGATGTGCATCCTTCCTCTTCTTGAGGGCTTCTTCCCTTTTCTTTTTGGCCATATCGTGCTGTTACTGCATCCAGTAAGGTAGGCCTTCTTTTTCTGTATGTCAGTCCATTGGCCCCAGCCAGAAAGCAAAACAGGCTTTTCAAGTTCTGGACTCTCCTCATTTAGGATCGCCTCTTTATCTTTCTCAAATTCTTCTTCAACATCATCACCAGCAAAAGCACAGCGTATAAGTTCTTCTTGAGATGGAAGTTCGTAAGTTGACTTAGTCCTTGAAGATATAATTCCATCCACCATCTCTTCTCCACTATCTGTATCATCGTTGTCATCCTCTTTCTGTTAGAGAGAGAGAGAGATAAATATACACCAGCCAATAAAATGGTTATGCATGATGGCATGATTATATGTGAACAGGAAATACCTCTATGGTTTGGTCATATTTTGAAGGTCCTGCAGGTACTGAAGACTTCCCAACATTATTGTTGGCAGCATTTTTCTGCTCATTACCATCTTATAAATTCTATTTCTATTGTTTATCAAAAATTGGTCAGATTAAAAGCAGTAAGTTCCCCATTTAAGCATTAAACAAAATGGCAAAAAAACACAATCTTTCGACACTAACCTTTATCCAAGAGTCAGAAGCAAAAATAGCAACTTCATAATTTGCATTGGGTTAGGGACTTTAAGTATATCCTCAAAATTCTGAAAATCCACAAATTTTAAAAAATATATTACACATACAGAAACAAGGATCACTAGAAAAACATGTGGATGGAGAGACAAGAAACACAGATTTAGAGATGAGTCACATGACAATATAGGGTTTTTGAGACCCTAATACATAATGTGGTAATTTATAGACCTATTTAATTAAAAAATTCCCTCGCCGTTAAATAGAATAAGGAAATTTGAGAATTAAACTGAATGCCGAGAAAAGTGTCCCAAGGTATGGGTGTCCAGGAGGATGAAAAGTAGTTCTTTATAGCACTGTCAGAGATCAGCACAGAGTGATGTGCTGTGTAGTGGATGGACCCAATGAGGGGCTGAGAATACAAAGGTTCCTTCTTAGCCAAACAAACACGTTCATTTTCAGATTCTTCTCCATTCATTGAGATGGCCCGAGTTTTTTTTTGGTGGGGTGGGGGGTTGTTTTTGGTGGCGGTTGTTCTTCGCAAGTCAAAATCATAAATAAGCTAGAATAACAGAGAAAGAGAGTGGTGTCTTTCCATTGAGAGCATCTATTGTCTTTGGAGAGGAACAATAGATCTTGGACTGGCCCCCTTTGTGAAAAGCATTATAAACCGCAAAGAAATAACCATAATATTGTGTGGGCTGACATTTAATAAAGAGGTGAATGAATGTCAACTAACCCTTCCATTCTTCAGCGATAAAGGGAGAAGGGATGAGCAAGTGGGAAGGAAGATAGATTACCTTAAACATAGGATCATGACTGATCTCAAACTCTTCATGAAGAAAATCAGGGTCTGTTGCGGAAGCTCTCTCAAAAGGATGTTGAAACGGTGGTTTTTCAGGCTCAGTCTAACGTACCTTTCTTTACCAACAACCAATCCAAACGGCTCTAAACCATAACCAATTGATTCACTTTGGTTGCTATTCAATCTTACCCACGTAGGACAAGAAAGGATGATGATTTATCGTCACAAATGCTAAGAGAAGACACCACAAAGATATACTATGAAAGAACCACCAATTGCACACGTTATACCAGCGTTCTGGACACTTCTGGACACCTTTTTTCTCACACAGAGGGAGGCAACCGGGATTCTCTTGTTTCTTCTCTCAAAATCACACAATCATCATATCAAAGAGGCTAGGATTATATTCATATATATACTCTAGGGTTAGGTTTTAAGTTGGGTCATTAAAGGGGTAAACGGGCCAAGATTCAAGTTATCCATAAGGAATACAATTGGGCCGGGTGTAGCTCATGAACTTGATTGTTGGACTTATTTCATTCATCGGCATATGCCTATAAAATAATATTAACCCACGTTAACATTATAACCCGAGACTTATTGGGTATCAAATACCAACAGGGTCAATGTATACTTCTCTTACAGAAAGATTACCTTTCCCCTGCTCACAATCCTCACCTTCCTTGGTCCCAACATCAATTTCACTATCACTGTCGCCATAGTGATTATCTGTTTTAACCTTCTTACTTGTTTCTTGAATCTGCTTTTTAGGAACACCAAAAACTCTTCTACCAGTTATGGCACCCATGTCACGACTTTGTTCCCCACCTTTACCTTCCAATTGCTTCAATGATGACTCATAATCTTCAAGAGCAAGCCTTGCTTCCTCATCAACAGCCTCTTTCCTCTTTTTCAACCCACAACCCTATTCAAGTAAACAAGCATACGAATATGTTATATTTAATTATAGTATTTTCGAAATGAGAAATGAACAGAACATAGAGGAAATAGTGGTCAATAGCCGGTTGATCCGGTCATTTTTTCAAAGAGGCCTTTGACCAAATAAAAAAAAGGAAAAAAGTAAAAATGTTTAAAATATTGAAAATCAAGAAATATCCAAATTTACCCTTACTATTTAAAGAAGAAAGAGAAAATAGTAAGGAAAGAGAAAAATTACTGTAGCACTGATAAAAAGTAGAAAATAGACGACCCATATTTAATGTTTTTATTTTGATTTTTGGAAAAAAAAAAAAACATGATTTCGTATACATGTTTTGATTTTTGGAAAAATACATGATTTTTGGGTAAGGATAATGTTTGGGAGGAGGAAAATGGAGTAGAGATCGTCGAAAATGGAGTTTTCCGACAATCTCCACAAAGAAGACGGTTAGCCCAGCTAACTGGGCTGTTTAGGCATGCCCAGACGGCCCAGTTGACTGGGTCTTCTGGCGCCTAGACAGCCCAGTCGTCTGGGCCGACCGTTATCTAGGCCCAGATTTTTTTTAAAATTACTTATTTATTTATTTCCTTTAATTTTTGAAGTTAACTATTTATTTTAATTGCTTATATTGTGTTATCTAATATTTAATTATTATTTGAATTGTTTAATTTTAATGTATATTATGTATTTAAAATTAATTCTTTGAAATGCTTAATGTAAATGTTTTATTATTTATCTAAATATTTATTATATATTTATTATTTGCTAATTTAGTTTTAATTATTTATTTTATGTTAAGTAATAGTAAAAAAAAATTAAAAGAAATAATTAAATATTAAATAAGTAATATACATAAAGAACTAAAATAAATATTTAAACATCTGTAAAATAATATATAAGCAATTAAATTAGAAAATTAAAATATCAATCAAATTATATTTCTGTAAAGCAATTAAAATAAATTTTTAAATATTAAATAAGCAATATGCATAAAGAATTAAAAAAGTATTTAAATATTAATTAAAAATAAATAATTAAATTAAGTGTTAGTAAAATAATTAAAATAAGCAATGAAAATATTAAAATAAATGATGAAAATAAGTGTTAGTAAAAAAATTAAAAGAAATAATTAAATATTAAATAATTAATATACATAAAGAATTTAAATAAACACTTAAACATTCATAAAATAATAATAAGCAATTAAACTAGAAAATTAAAATGTCAATCAAATTAATTATTTGCAAAGCATTTAAATATATATCAATAAAGAATTTAAATAAATATTTAATCATTTTTTATTTTTTAATATTGAATTTAATTGTTTATAAATATTTCATGAATTATGTAAATTGTTTATTTAAGTAAAATAATTAATTATTTTTTATTTTATTTTATTTAAAATATAAATAATGAAATAAATATAATAAACAATTGAATATTCAATAAACAATTAAAATAAATGAGAAATTAATATAAATAATTAAATGAAGTAAATAAATATGAAATAAACTATTAAAATAAGTAATTAAATATTAAACAAACAATATACATAACCAATTAAAGTAATTAATGAGATAGTTAAATAAAATATTAAATTAAATATTTAATACGTAATTTAATAAATCAAATAATACTTTAATTGTTTATGTATATTATTTGTTTAATATATAATTATTCATTTTATACTTTATTTGTTTATTTAAATATTTCACGAATTATGTTAATTATTTATGTATATTGTTTATTTAAATAAAAAATAAATAACTATTTGAAATAAATTAAATAAATATTAATAAAATAATTAAAATAATGAATTGAAATAATAAATAACTAATTTAAATAAATTCAATAAACAAGTAACTTAAATGTTAATTAAGCAATAAAAATAATTAATTAACATAAATAACAAATAAATATAAATAATAAAAACTAGTTTGAATATGTAATTAAATATTAAATAAACAATTGAAATAAATAATTAGAATTTAAATATTAAATAAATATTTTAAATGAACAATAAATATAAAAAGAAGTAATTTACGTAAGTAATTAAATATTAAATAAAAAATTTAAATAAACAATTGAAATAAAAAATTAACATTTAAGTATTAAATAAAAAATAATTAACATTTAAGTATTAAATAAATAATTTAAATGAACCATAAATATAAATAATATAAATAAGTAATTAAATATTAAATAAACAATTGAAATAAATAATTAACATTCAAAATAAACAATTAAACATTCAATTAACAATTAAAATAAATATTAAATAAACAACCAAACAATTAAAATAAATAATTTAAATACACATTTAAATATTGAATAAATAATTTAAATGAACAATTTAAATAAATAATTAACAATTAAATATTCAATAAACAATTTAAATAAATAGTTAATAATTAAATATTTAATACACAATTTAAATAAGTAAATAAACTATTTAATTTTCAAATATTATGCTTTATCTATTGTCTCTTATACAAGGTCCAAATATTTTAAATTTTACAAGATGAATTACCATTTGAACGTCGCTATGAGACAAATTCCCGACAAAGTTATGTCGAACTATAATTTTGTCAGCTTCGCATTAGTTCTAGATTTGTTGGATGAAGAGCGCGCAGACCTGTTACACCGATTCTGCTTATGACGATAACTTTGGCACAGTTAGGTGATGCATTCAATGAATGCGACGATATGTTTGACAAGTTAAAGTTGAGGATATTTATACTAGAGAGCATACTGAGGTGTCATCACAATAAGACGTCGATCGACGTCTTTCATTTTGAAATTGTTGATAATATTGACACATTCAACAGCTATCCATGAGGACAAAGCTGACAGTTATCAGCTCTCCTCAACGATCCTGAGGTACGTATTATTCATTTGTGATTTATTTAAATAACGTAATGAAATATTAAATACATACTACACACAACTAATTAAGATAATTTATAAATGAAATATCTAAATAAGAAATTAAATTAAATATTACTTTTTTTTAATTAAGTGATTAAATAAATAATTAAACAACGTAATTAAATATTAAATAAATAATATACATAACTATGTCTAAGAGGACCCCCAACTTGACAGATAATGTCGCAAGTTTGGATGGCACCTTGTACGAAACATATTATTGACGTGTCAGAGCGAATTGTTAGCAAAAGGATTAGATTGCTGTCACAACACATTGTTTCTCCATACACGACCGAGGCAAAGAAGAGAACACCTGTTGACGGTACGTTGCATAACCTCTTTTGTGAAATCGACTAGGGCGATTGTGAAATCTTCACATTTAAGTTAGGGCTGTAAATGGATCGGATATATGGATCGGATTTGCTCAAATTCGATCCGATCTGTTAATAATAATTATCCTATCCGATCCGATCTAATAATCCGATGGATATTTGAATGTTAAATCCATATTCGATTAACTATGTTATCGGGTATCCGATCTGAAATTGAAAAAATTAGAAAAATAAAGATTTTATTTATTTATCAGGTAGGAATGACCTATATCCATATTTGATTTATTTAGTCAAAGGATTATCGAGTTTGAATCTCGATTGGATTATCGGATTAAGGCCCTAAATCCATCTCCCATTAATTTCATTGGATTTAGATCGAATTCGGATCAAAATCCAATCTATTGATTCATTTAGTTAACGAATTATCGAATTCGAATCTCGATTGGGTTATCGAATTGAGACCCTAAATCTATCTTCCATTAATTTCATCGGATTCGGATCAAAATTCAATCCATTGATAACCCTAATTGAAGTACATAAAATTTTTAGCATCGAACGTGGTGTAGAGCTAGTAAACTAAACACACATTAAAATGCAAGCGTTCTTTTATGTTTATTGTGATCCGTAATTGTAATAATTTCAAAAGTAAGCATTTTTTTTAAAAACGTTTGTAATACTTTAGTTTTTATGTAATTATATAATAAATAACTAATTACTCTTAATTACACATATAACACACTATAAATAAAGAAAATTAATGAAAACAATAACACACAATAAATAGAGAGTACATATGATTTAAATAAATATTACACATTCGTTGGGTAGAGAGTAATATACCATAATCAGGAAATTCTCACTCGACTTCATTTTGTAGAGGAAATATATTATTGGCAGTATTGAATAATGTTCGATGTATTGTAAATCTGACCGTGCCTAAAGTTCAACTTCCATCTCTGTTAAATATTATCTACACCATGTGATTTACGTTCTAATTAAATATTAAATAAATAATATCATAACCAATTAAGATAATTAATTAATGAGATATTTAAAGAATAAATTAAATTAAATATAAATCTTCTATTCGAATAAGTGATTAAATAAAGTAATGAAATATTAAATAAACTATATACATAACAAATTAAGATAATTAATTAATGAAATATTTAAAGAAAAAATTAAATTAAATATTAATTTTTTATTTGAGTAAGTTTTTAAAATAAATAATTAAATAAAATAATTAAATATGCATAACCAATCAAGATAATTAATAAAAAAAATATTTAAACAAGAAATCAAATTAAATATTGGATAATTCTACATGTACTAATTCATAAGGATGTTCATAATGTACATATGAAATTCCATGAGTGGAAGATCGAAAAAACTGTTTTTCAAATATCCAATAATGTTATGTCACGTGTACATTATGGTATAATATTTTTATTTAAATAAATAACTAAAATAAAGTAATTAAATATTAATGACTAATAATCGACATAACCAATTAAGATAATTAATTACTGAAATATCTAAATAAGAAATTAAATTAAATATTAATTTTTTATTTAATTAAGTGATTAAATAAATAAATAATATACATAGCTAATTAAGACAATTAATCAAAAAATATTTAAATAAGAAATTAAAATAAATATTAATTTTGTATTTAAATAATTTAATAAATAATTAAATAAAGTAATTAAATATTAAATGAGCAATATACACAATCAATTAAGGTAATTAATAAAGAAATATTTAAACGAGAAACCAAATTAAATATTAATTTTTTTATTTGAGTAAGTGTTTAAAATAAATAATTAAATAAGGACCAATTAAGATAATTAATTAATGAAATATTTAAAAGAGAACCCAAATTAAATATTTAAACGAGAAACTAAATTAAATATTAATTTTTTAATTTGAGTAAGTGTTTAAAATAAATAATTAAATAAGGACCAATTAAGATAATTAATTAATGAAATATTTAAAAGAGAAACCAAATTATATATATATTTTTTTATTTGAGTAAGTGTTTAAAATATATAATTAAATATACATATATCAATTAAGATAATTAGTTAATGAAATATCTAAATAAGAAATCAAATTAAATATTAATTTTTTTATTTAAACAAGTGATTAAATAAATAATTAAATATTAAATAAATAATATACATAATCGACTAAGATAATTAATTAATGAAATATTTAAACAAGAATTTAAATTAAATATTAATTTTTTTATTTGAGTAAATGTTTTAAATAAATAATTAAATATAAAGTTAAAAGTGTTTGATTTTTTAATTTGTAATTTAAGGGTATTTTTGTCTTTTTAAACAAAATTCTATCTTTATAATTGTATAAATTACTTAAGAATATTTTTGTCTTTTACTCAGCAAATGACCATTTGGAAGATTGGCAAAATTTTTTGATCAAAGTAAAAAAAGGGCATTTTGACTTGGCTAATTTAAAAAGTACCCCACAGAACATACCATAAAAGGTAAAGAGAGCGCTCCAGACTTAGGCACTTCTTCATCCCCTTCCAGCACTTCAAGCGTCTTCTATTTTGCTTTCATGAGCAGTTTTGATGCAATATCCTAATCAGAACCAGATGAGATTTCCTCAGTGTCGTCCTCGTCACTATTCTCATCGCTACTACTACTTTCAAAATTGAACAATTGTTTTTACGTAAAAGTGAATATAATAAATTGAAGTACTTATCCGAGTTCGAGATTGACTATGAAAAATTTGTTTATTGGAATTCGAGACTGGCTATGGGAAAACAAAACAGACAAGCTGTAAATTTAGCCCCATTATTTCTCATTACATTAAATTAAATTTTTCTCTCTTACTTTTAATCACACAATCTTCAATAAAATAATATTACACGTAAATCAAAAAAATTTCAACCACTCATTTTTAAAAAAAAAAAATTATTCCTCTCATTAGAATGCCAAATAGTGGGGCTTAAACACATATGGAGTATATTTTGTTTGTCAAATTCGATTTATCAATAATGAGCAATACTTAATTATTATTGAACGTAAATACTTATTTATTTTTACATAAAAACGAGCAGCTTTTTCGTATATAAAATATATTGTTTTCCAACTTTTAGGCCGTTGCAGTAGTTGAACATAGACTTCTTACAAAACAATCATAATAAAGTTGAATCACATGATTGGTATGGTGACATAAAATTCAAATAAGCAATTTATAAGTAGTAATTTATTTTATTTAAGTACTTAATTGTTGATGATCGATCGCGCGCGCTCTCTCTCTAAAGTTGACATTTAAAAGGTAAATGGGATGGTTTTTATAATAAAAGATATCGATATTTTCCACCTGGACTAAAAATTTAAATTTTATTTATTTATTTTTACATTATTTTACATTTTATTTTTATTTTTTTGGTTTAGTCAAAAAGCTTAAACTAGATATATCTGAATTTTCATTAACTCAAGAAGTCAATAAAATGTTAGTCTCTTATTCGAATTTAAAACTACTGTTGATTTCAACAAATAATAATTCAATACTGGAGTTTAATTTTATTTAAATTACTTAATTGTCAGTCATGATTGTCAAAGTTATGTTTAAACCAACAAAACTTATTTTTTCATAAAATACTTTTACTTACTATCTAAGAACAACGTAACTTTTAAACTTAACAAATCATCCTCTTAGGAGCGGATCCATTGGTATTACATATGTAGAAAACAAGACATGGGAAGTTGGTGTTGAGTCGACTAATTGAGTAATAGTAGCAAATATCGATTTTATTACCCATGGTCTTGAGAAAAAAAAAATAGGAGGGAAAATATAACTGAGAGGGAAGGTGATCGTGAAAGAGATTTTGAAGGTCGTTGAAGTCTTATCAAATAAGACTCATGAGAGATAGATAGTATCAAGATATTGAGAAGAATAATGATTCATTTTCATTCGTAGATCATGCGTGTATTTGTACAAATTGAGTCATTTACGTAATTTATCCAAAGATATCTATACAAATAGAATAATCGATAATCTCCAACTGATCCGATCTCCTGTATGTGAGCATGTAGTCTTTTGTTCTCTGTAAATATCGCATCACCTATTTGGCTGCTTTCCAATGATCCATTCCCGAGTTACTTAAATATCTCCCTAGCATCCCAACGATGTACGCTATATCCGGATGCGTACAAACCTGAGCATACATCAGACTCCCTATAGCTGAGGAATAAGGAATCTTCTGTATTTCTTTAATTTCCAAGTCATTTTTGGGGCACTGACTTAAGCTGAACTTGTCACCTTTAGCCACAGGGGTGTCACATGGATTACAATCTTGCATGCCATATCTTTTAAGTACCTTTTCGATATAGCTCTTTTGTGACAATCCAAGAATACCTCGAGAACGAACTCGATGTATCTGAATTCCTAATACAAAAGAGGCATCACCAAGATCTTCATCTCAAAATTCTTTACTAGAAATCTCTTGGTTTCGTGCAATAAGCCTATATCGTTGCTGGCAAGCAATATGTCATCGACATATAAAACTAGAAAAATATACTTGCTCCCACTAAACTTGTGGTATATACAATCATCGATCAAATTCATCTCAAAACCAAATGAGATGATCACTTGATGAAACTTGTAATACCATTGACGAGACGCCTGTTTGAGTCCATAGATGGATTTCTTTTATTTACAAACCATTTGCTTTGCATCGTCCAATACAAAGTTTTTTGGTTGTACCATATAAATTGTTTCATCAATGTCACCATTGAGAAACGCTGTCTTAACATCCATCTGATGTAGCTTAGGATCAAAATGCACTACCAATGCCATTATAGTCCTGAAAGAGTCTTTCGAAGAAACCGGAGAGAAAGTCTCTTTATAATCGATGCCTTCTTTCTGTGTAAAGCCTTTTACGACAAGACGAGCCTTATATCTCTCTACATCACCTTTCGAATCCCTCTTGGTCTTAAATATCCATTTGCAACCAATGGGTTTCACACCTTCAGGCAATGGAACGAGGTCCCATACGTCATTGTCCTTCATGGACTTTATCTTTTCATTCATAGCATCGAGCCACTTTTGAGAGTTAGAACTTTCCATGGCTTGACGGAAGTTGATCGGATCATCTTCCACCATTCCAATGTCAACTTCATGTTCTTGAAGAAATATGATGTAATCATTCGAAACAGCGCTTCTCCTCTCTCTAGTGGATCTTCTTAATGGCATTGGTTCTTGAGGGTGTAGAGTTTGTTCTTCTGGAACAATTTGTTGATCTTGAGAAGGAGGTATGACATTGTCTTGATCCAGAGTTGCTTCTTGAACAATATCAGGGATAGAAGCCTGATCATTGTCAATGGCAATTGGAGGAATTTCAACATATTCCTCCTCAAAGACAAAGCCTGTAACCCTTTCTCCCCCCGCAAACACAACATCCTCAAAGAACCTAGCATTTCCTGTCTCGAAAATTGCCTTAGTTGTGGGATCATAAAACTTGTAACCCCTGGACCTTTCAGAATATCCAATGAAATAGCAACTGATGGTCCTTGCGTCCAGATTCTTTTCATTTGGCTTATAGGGCCTTGCCTCAGCTAGACACCCCCAAATATTTATATGCTTCAAACTAGGCTTCTTGCCCATCCAAAACTCATATGGGGTTTTATCAGTAGCCTTAGTTGGAACTCTGTTGAGTATATAAGCTGCAGTCTTTAATGCTTCACCCCAGAGAGATTCTGGTAAGGTAAAATGACTAATCATACTCCTCACCATGTCCTTAAGCGTTCTGTTTTGTCTTTCAGCAACACCATTCATAGTAGGTGAACCCGGCATAGTGTACTGTGGGACGATATCGCATTCCTCTAGGAATTTAGCAAACGGTCCTGGACGCTGTTCACCTGAACCGTCATATCTGCCATAGTATTCACTCCCACGGTCAGATCTGACGCTTTTAATCCTTTTGTCGAGTTAGTTCTCAACTTCACCTTTATAGTTTTTGAACACATCCAGTGATTGTGATTTTTCATGAATGAGAAATACGTAGTCATATCTTGAAAAGTCGTCTATGAACGTTATAAAATATTGTTGACCATTCCAAGAACCCGTAGGGAATGGTCCACAAATATCTAATGTTACTAACCATGTACCTGGAGGAAACTTTTCGTGGATTGATGCTGGTTTACACCATGTTTGTGCCATTTCTTTTCATGGGAGTTTGAAGTGTTGGGGAAAAATGGTAGGTGAAAAACCCCGTGGCGAGTTCATAGCACTAGCCTCGGGGGAGAGTCGGAACTGTGCATTGAGGCCTAATGGAACCGCGGTTTGTTGGGGTGAAAATGGATTCAATTTGCCCGCTTCACTGAAGAAGATGGAATTTATTGCTTTGGAAGCAAAAATTAATGTTTTTTGTGGTGTTAACAGATCAAATTATTCCTTACTTTGCTGGGGTAATGAGAATTTCGATTCGAATCCGGTTTTCAAAGATGTAGTTCCGGGTTCTTGTACAACTCGAAATGAGTGTCCCTGTAATCCTTTACCTGGTTATGGCAAGTACTGCAGTGAAGACCTAGTCATATGTGAACCTTGTGTTAAGAAGCCTATTGTGGTGGTGCCGCCACCACCACCGTTAGTGGCACCACCATCACGGAGTCCCTCGAGCGGTGGACAATGGAATAGTAAAATGGTGGCCTTTTTGGTTGTAGGTTGCGTTGGATCATTCTCGTTGTTTTTAAGCTTGTGTATATTGTCATTCAGATATTGCAAGATAACAGGCAGTCGAATTCATGATTCAGGACGCCTAGAGGAGGGCAGCCTGTCTCAACAAAACAGCCAAACTACTCAAGCTCGACCATCTCCACCAGTCTTGGAGAAGCGGCTCAGTCATTTAATCAGTGCAGGGAATGGAGGTCACTTGGAGGAATTTTCCTTGCAAGAGTTACTTAAAGCAACTAATAGTTTCTCTGAGGAGAACAAAATTGGCACCGGAAGCTTTGGATCCGTCTACCATGGTACATTGGATGATGGGCGCGAAGTGGCGGTCAAGAGAGCTGAAGCCTCGTCCTCTTCATCATATGGAGGCATTGCCAAACATAGCCAAGACGACAAGGACAACGCATTCTTGAATGAGCTCGAGTTTTTATCGCGTCTCAATCACAAGAATCTTGTTAGGCTATTAGGATATTGTGAAGATAGCAATGAGCTCCTATTAGTCTATGAGTACATGAACAATGGCACCCTCCATGATCATCTCCACAAGCTTCACACTTCTCCATTCATGTCATGGTCAACAAGAATTAAGGTAGCACTTGATGCAGCAAGAGGAGTTGAGTACCTCCATAAGTATGCTGTGCCACCAATTATTCACAGGGATATCAAGTCATCAAACATACTACTCGACACCACGTGGACTGCCAAGGTGTCCGATTTTGGGTTATCTTTGATGGGCCCCCAAGATGACCAGTCCCACCTGTCATTACGTGCTGCAGGCACAGTTGGGTACATGGATCCCGAGTACTACAGATTGCAACAGTTAACGACTAAGAGTGACGTTTATAGTTTCGGGGTCGTATTGCTTGAATTGCTATCAGGGCACAAGGCAATTCACAAGAATGAGAATGGGGTGCCAAGAAATGTGGTGGATTATGTAGTTCCATACATAATTCAAGATGAAATTCATAGGGTGTTGGATGCGAGGGTGCCCCCTCCTACACCATTTGAGATTGAAGCAGTGGCACATGTAGGGTACCTTGCTGCAGATTGTGTCATGCCAGAGGGACAAGATCGGCCATCAATGAGTGAAGTTGTAAATAGCTTAGATAGAGCCCTGGAGGCATGCTTGGCACCCCCCGTGTTATCGCGATCTACCACCGACTCCTCAACGTAATCTCGGAAACCTTGCAACGTTTTAAGAGCCCTCAGATAGTCCAGTCCAAGAATAACGAGGCTATTAGCAGGAACACCCTCTACAACTGAACTAATGAATTATCGTGTAGATCAGATTCTCGATTAAATTTATTTCAAAGTATTTTTAGTTGCAAGAGTACGGGCTCAATAAGAATGTGAATATTACATTGAAATTTCCAAAGGAGGAAAAACACAAATTTTGAGCTAGCACGCTTTAGATTATTATTCTTTTTTCCCCCCTTATTAATTTGTTAGTTTATTGTTTATAGTGGAAAGGCGTTCCTACTAAATGAAATGTTCTGCAGCGCAGCTTATTCATTCTATTATTTTCTCTGATCTTTGAAATTCAATCACTTCCAATAGTTTTATAGATGAGATTTGGTAATTTTCTTTGTAATTTTTCAAGTCAAATCACCAACCACAAAGTTGTTCCTACCATTAACGTGGAAAAAGACTTTGTCAATATCAATGTTGTTTAAATCAATTTCCACGTGAAATAAAAAACGTATATAGTCAAGGATAACGATATCTTTTACATTTATTTTCAATTTCTTCCTTCCTCAAGCAAAGAGTAACTTCATTGTGAAATATGATAAAACTCATGATCCAATTCATTTGACCATTATTGAGATTTCGTCGTGATGAAATTGAACTTAACTGTATTGTTAATTAATGATGTGTTTTGCTCATTTAAATGATTCTCAAAGTTAATTTATAAGAAAGTAGCGTCAAATTAGTGCACTAGAGCCTGGAAAACAAGCAGGTGCAATGTTCTTAAATCCGACTCTAGAACAAATGAGTTCCAATTGGAAGAAGAAAAGAATGAATAAGATTCGAAGATGCATTATAAAAATGTATTCACACATTTCATATGATCCAAATTCGAAGATGCATTATAAAAATGTATTCACACATTTCATATGATCCAAAATATTTATTCACTTTATGTGGGATCCATATTTTTTAAAGTTCTAATATTCATAACAAGTTTAACAAATTTCTTCATTTTTATTAAAACTAAAATCGAGAAATTCGATTCCAATTCATACGTTTCCAATGAAAAAGAGAGCTATTGTTGCTAGCCCCAATAAGACACTTCAGTTAGAATTTCCATGAAATTTCTATGCTTCTTCCTTTAAGCTTGCTCCCTTGTCTGCATAGGAGAATTTTCTTCTATTCTAGATATGAATGAGATATCTACACATTTCTAAGCTTTAATTTCAGTTTTAGATCCATTTTAGCGATTTATAGACTTGAGATCTCAACACTGCAATATTTGGGATGGTATTAGTATATGACAATTGGGAAAGGCTTGTTGAAGCCACTCTAAAGAGGAGCTTCGGGAAATTGCTCGGCGTCCTGGCTTCAGCTCTGCTTCTTCAGATTCCAGTTCTATTCATGCTCACTTGCAAGAACTGCTTAAAGCCACAAATAGTTTTTCCAAGCAAAATATAATTTTCACCGAAGGCTTTGGATCGGTCTACCATGGCACATTGGACGACAGGAGACAATCACGAGAGCCAAAACTTCTTTTGCAAAACACAAGGTGTCCGATTTTGGGGTATCTTTGATTGGCCCACAAGATGACCAGTCCCACATGTCATTACGTGCTGCAGACATGGTTGGGTACCTAGATCCCGAGTACTATAGATTGCAACAATTAACGACTAAGAATGACATTTATAGTTTCGAGGTTGTACTACTTGAATTGCCATCAGGGCACTAGGCAATTCACAAGAACAAGAATGGGGTGCCAAGAAATGTGGCGGATTATGTAGTTCCATACATAATTCAAGATGAAATTTATAGGGTTTTGGATCATAGGGTACTCCCTCGTACACCATTTGAGATTGAAGCAGTGGCATATGTAGGGTACCTTGCTGCAGATTGTGTCATGCGAGAGGGAAAAGATAGGCCATCCATGAGTGATATGGTAAATTGCTTAGATAGAGCCCTAAAGGCATGCTTGCCACCCCCACTTGTTGATCCCAAAGGGTTGTAAAGAATGAGATTCAATGACGATGTGAAGTAATAAGATCACAACAAGAAACAAGATTAAAAGTAAAAAAATAAACAATAAGAATTCAGCGTAGAGGAACGATGTATTATAAATTGACAATATGGAGAGAAATTACAAACCCAACAATAATGTTTAAACAAAACTGATAATGAACCTTGTATTTATAGGCCATGTTGTTGGAAAAAAATGGTTTAATGGGTTAACTTTGAGCCCAAATTTCAGTGGGACCCACCTTTTAAATAATACGGGACCTAGCATATTCACGTTCTACTCCGCGAGATGATTAACGTGATATATTTATTTATCGAAAACCATTTAAAATTGAATGAAATATTAAGTGTTAAAGTAACCCACATAAACTAATGATTATGGAAGAATTTGATTTACCGAACACTTATCCCACATAGGAAAGTTAGGAAACTTTGGTGTGGTTTATAAGGTGGAAGTTTAGAATTGGGTTTGGGCCCCAAGGGGTACCAATAGTCTTTGGAAGGGGGAAGACCTATATCCTATTGGGTTCGGTCATAAACCCACACGCGCGCGCCGCAGCCGTCCGTCCGACCGGCCAGCACGGCACGTGCCCGTGCCCGAGCCCGGTTCGGTCCGGGTCGACCTTTACACTATATTAACTTTTTGGACAAAATTTATTTAAAATTTTGGGCCAAATTGTAAATAATCAAATTC